GTTGTTTAATCTGAAACGTAGTTACGGGTATGTACTTCTTCCGATGTTTACCTTTTTATTGACTAAATGTTTGCATTCTGATTGTGAATCGAAGCATACCTTCAGAATAAGAAACACTGTGTGTCATAAAACAAACGAATATTATCTTCCGAACGAATCTGATCTATCCAGGAGGGATAGAATAACATTTATTAGTTGCTGTTGATACAAACGAATGAACAAATGTGATTGGAATAATTGATTCCTAATACTTGTTAATGTACTCATATAAATGCATGTTTATGATGAATGTATATCAGAACCACAATATTTAGGCAAATCACTTCTTTTCGATTTTACATCCTCTAGGCGTGTGTGTATCTAAACTACTTAGACAGTTATTCTTCAGGCCATAAACCTCAGTTTCAATCCTACAATCATTGTTACTCAATGATTATGAGCAGTGATCATTTACGAAATGTAGTTCTGATCCCTTTGAAATATTCATATCGATGTACTTCAAGATAAAATTTTATCAAATAATTTTTTAAACCAAATAGAAAATCTTTCAAATTAGTAATAGGTTACTATTCTTAACATGAGAATGAGTAATTCAAAATCCAGTGTGAATTGTCTATATTCATTTTAAGAACCATTATCACTGAGGTCAACAAAAATTAAAGTTTAGTATTTAAATTTAGTTATTCATCAATTTTTGGAAGCTACCAAAAATAATTATTCATGATCATTGTTACTCATGGACGACTATAAGAAATTACAAAAATATTGAATGCTTTTCTTATCGAATAAGAAATGTAGTTCGTAGAGAATCTTTCTCAATCTCGCAGTCGGTCAGAATCTTAAAATATTAAACAAAATGATGCTTCATATTACAGCATCATCGACGAGAAAGGTGGATCCCATGCAGATGTGAGGGCGCGGATTAGCAAAGTAAGGGCTGCATTTCTACAGTTGAAAAATATCTGCAACTCCAAACAACTTTCAACCAAAACCAAAATCACGATTTTCAATACAAATGTCAAGACAGTTCTACTGTATGGAGTGGAAACTTGGAGAATTACCAAAGCCATCATCCAAAAGATACAAGTGTTTATTAACAGTTTTCTACTCAAAATACTTCGGATTCGTTGGCCAGACAGGATCATCAACAACAAACCAGATTCCAATGGAGTAGGATATCAGGAAAAAGCGGTGGAAGTGGATAGAACACACATTACGAAAAGCACCTGACTGCGTTACGAGACAAGCCTTCACACAGAACCCCCAAGGTAAAAGGAAAAGAGGAATGTCAAGGAACACACTACGCCGAGAAATAGAGAAAAAAATCTGAGAGGAATGAACAAAAAAATTGGACAGAATTGGGAAGTCCAGGACAGAGTTGGTTGGAGAAAACTGGTCGGTGGCCTATGCTCCATTGAGGGTAACATGTGAAAGTTAGTAAATAAGTAAGTAATTATTACCATTCTCATTGTTTTGACGTGTTATCATCAAAATGAACCTAAAACGTCAAAGATAAAATGCAAATAGGTGACATTCACTAAATCGTATAAATAAAATACAATGAAACGTGATATTTTTAACAGTATTCAGTGATTATTATTTACAACAGCCCAATCATAATTATTTCTAGTTTATTCAGGTCAAATACTTATAGACTGACTATTCAAACAATGGAAATTACAACTACGAATCTACGTATCATGAGTGATCGTAAGTGATCGTAATTTCACCAAAATCATGCTGGTATCATATAATAAAATATTCACGGAAATAGCGAACCCCAGTAAAACAAACCGAGAGAAAAATTGACATTCTACAAAATTATTCGAATACACATAATAATGCTTAGCATCATTGTGAACTCACGTGCACAAATACAACGAAATATCATCAACAACATTGTCAGAAACAGAAGAAACATCCCCTAAGAATGGTGATTCTTCATCGTGAAATATAAACTGAACACTAATTTGAAAAGTTAAAAATTTCAAATTGTAAATAATCACTGATGTTATCCTTCAAACCTCTTTATTTATATACACTACGTTTATGAATATACTTATTGTCACCATAAAGTTTAAATTAACCTCTTTATAAAAATACGTGAACAGAGAAAATATTCAACGTTCAATCACAATTAATTATTCGACCTATAACCTGGAAATGAAAATGAGCTAATTATCTATGAACATCCACGTACTGAGTAGGATATGAAAATTATTTTCCGGGTAGAGGGGAATGGATTCACAAAAAATGAACAATTAAGATGAGTAATTATATTCGTTTTGAGTTGTTTAAATTAGTTAACAACCGGATGTGATCATTTGAATTTTTCCAATATTGAATAGAAAGAAATATTGTCAATTGTAGAAATATATATTTATCCGATAATTAATTTGTAAATATTAGAAAATATAGAAATTTCAATGAAGGAATAATTGTGAATTTCGATGTTACTTTGCATCTTTGTAGTTTGTTGAAGACTTTGATTAGTTTTCGTTACTTTGTGTTCCTTTCGGGTTAGACCTATCATTTATTCATTTCTTGGAAATCTTCTTCTACGTTTTAGCGTAATATGTTCATTGATCTTCCTCATTATTTTTGAATTTGAGGACTCAAAATAATAAATTTGATTTCGTGTGTTTTATTCTCTTCCAGTGCATTTACCAGCCTTAAATATGTTGTATATGGAATATTAAAGATTCCTATTGTGAAAATTAGAACAATACATATAAGCGAACAATATTGTTTTCGATTAGATCGTCATCAGGCTTTACTCTAATATACATGAATATTTATATGAAAATGTTTAACATGATTTAACATGGTTTAACACATTTTTGAAACCATCTTCATATTCCCGTAATGCAACTATTAGCTGTGCTCACTAGTGACTAGCTTCGTGAGGAATCTTATCCGAGTTCTAGTGGGAAAACGTGAACATTGTAGATAACCTGTTCAGGTATAGACAGTAACTACTGAAGACTGTGTATGAGGCTGCGCAACTCCATGAATTGATCAAGTTAAACATGAACACGGTTAGATGGTCCGATGGTTAGGCGTTCTGAGTTCTGATCCTGCAGCGTGTAGGAGTCGTGGATGCGCACTGCTGAGGAGTCCCATACCAGGACGAAACGGCCGTCAAGTGCTTCCAGATTTCTAATAGTGGTAAAACGAAGTTTTTAAAAATGTATTCCTAGTTGTTGATAGCTTAATATCTAGACAGTTATAGATTGAATCTGTCATCAAGGAATTATTGGCACTGACCATGAGGCTGAATAGTGTTATAATTCCGTGCTTGAGAATTAATGCAAACTTTTAATTCTGTAGCGTATAATAATATGTAACTTATATTACCTGTCAAACCATTTGTTTAATTTGAAAATATATAATTCTATAAATGTATAACTATTCAATGAACCTGATTACTAAATTTATTATCACACCACTAACTGTTCTTATTTTCTGTATGCTTAAGTTTCGTATTTACCAGAAATACGCTATTATCAGACCACACTGACACTATTTAGGCAGCCATGACACAACAAGATCCACTCAGGTATTGTTTCGCTTAATTAACAGACTTCCCTTTTCATTTTACTCTCCAGCATTTCTATATCACACTGCTTAGCTTTTTGAAGGAGATTGGGAACGTTTGTATAAAATTCATTTATTGGCCTCATACTTGCTGCAGTTAATGGGAGTGTAATCAGAGATAACGAAAAGTTAATGGCTGTTGCTGTTCGTTCATTTAGAATATCTACTGGGATCCATTCTCAAATAACCAATTATCCTTTAAAAGTTGATACTGAACTAACATCAACAAGGCCACAAGAAGTAACAGTGGGGCTTCCACGCATGTGAAGTGTATTTTGAGATGTTTTTTCTATGTCAACCAAATGAGGTCTCATGACTGATTCTACTCGGATTCTGTATGCGCGTTTAGGTTATGCAAAATACATCGAAGCAAGAAGATTCTATGGTCATTGCTACGGATACTTGTTGCCTATTTGTCAGGTCCAGGTTGTCCACACGTTCTCGTGTTATTTTTTGATGAACCTAAAAATGAAGTTAGATTGAGGTGCTTCCAAGTGACCTGTGGACATGATGGCAGAACGAAAGTGACAAATGATTGAAGCCGGCTGCGCGAATCCTTTTTATAAGAAGTTTGTAACTTAATAGCTGGACTCTTAAAATTTAAATAATCCTGAAGACAAAACTGAGTAGTGTAACAAGACGTTTGTCATCCTTAGCATAGACTATTTCTAATCCTATCCATCGTGAGAAGGCAAAATAGCTTCTCATTTATCTTCTTTAAAAGCAACACCTGATCAGTCAGCAGTATGGATTAACTCATACGCGATAAACTGCAGCTTTAACTCCAACTTTTCAGCAGTTAACATGGCGCTGTGGTAGGATTTACGTAGGTTTTATCACTGTTAACGATGAATTAAATAACTGCGAAGTAAATTCGAAAATTCACAATTATTCCGTTATTATTTGAAATTTCTATATATTTTAACATTTACAAATTAATTATCGGATAAATATATATTTCTACAATTGACAATATTTCTTTCAATTCAATATTGGAAAAATTTAAGTGACCACATCCGGTTGTTGACCGATTTAAACAACTTAAAAACAAGTATAATTACTCTTCTTAATTGTTCATTTTTTGTAAATTTTCTTCCCCTCTACCCTGAAAATAATTTTTTTATCTTAATCATTACGTGGATGTTCATGAATAATTAGTTCAATTTAATTTCAAGGTTCAAATTCTAATAATTAATTGTAATTGAACGTTGTATATTTTCTCTGGCGATGTATTCGAATAATTGCGATGATGAATAGAGTGTATATAAATAAAGAGGTTTGAAGGATAACATCAGTGATTATTTACAATTTGAAAGTTTTAACTTTTCAAATTTGTGTTTAGTTTATTCTATACAATGAAATTTTACTATTCTCAGGGGATGTTTCTTCTATCTCTGACAATCATGTTGATGATATTTCGTTGTAGTGATGCACGTGAGTTCACAATGATGCTAAGCATTAATATGTTTATATGAATAATTTTGTAGAATGTCAATTTTTCTCTCGGTTTGTTTTACTGGAATGCGCTATTTTCGTGAACATTCCGTGAATATTTTCTTATATGATACCAGCATGATTTTGGTGAAATTACGATCACTTACGATCACTTACGATCACTCATGATACGTAGATTCGTAATTGTAATATTCACTGTTTGAATCGTCATTCTCTAAGTATTTGACCTGAGTAAACTAGAAATAAATATGAGTGGGCTGTTGTAAATAATAATCACTGAATACTGTTAAAAATATCACATTTCATTGTATTTTATTTATATGATTCAGTGAAGATCACCTATTTGTACATTATCATTGACATTTAAGGTTCATTTTGACGATTTCTCACGATATCGCCAAACAAAATGTTAATAATAGAAACTGCTTATTCAAGTTTCATGCCATATATTGCACAGATTCATTATATTCAGAATGACTTTCTATGAAGTAAATTTTTTTATTTGAAAGGAAACTCATCCGATATTCTATCACGTCTTGAAGAATATTTTAGATAACGCTTTACAATAAATATTACTAAACTTTATTCGATAACAAGCCTTCCTTTTAACACTGTTATTCATAGATATTCGTTTCCTTTTTATAACATGTCACTGAATTAAGAAGATTATTAAGTTACACATTTTAAATCATGAATCGACCAATATATTGGAAACTTGTAAGCACTGGATAGCCATTTCGTCCTGATAGGAGTCGTGGATGTGCACTGCTGATGAGTCCCATACTAGAACGAAACGGCCGTTTTTCATTGCTTCCAAGTTTCTAGTGATGGTGATCCAAGATTGGTCGATTTATGATTTCTTAGTGATGTTCACCTACTTTTAATGGTGTTTACAATATACAGAACTATCTTAGCGGGAATTAGTATAGACATAGACAACACCATTTCACAAACTACACAGTTCTGGGCTTTCCTTTTCAGTTCTATCAGATTACAGTCCATTCTTTTCATGTTTGCCTTCAATTCTCAGCGTTATGTATCCTTCTGTTTTCCTCTCTTCCTTTAATCCTGAATATTACAAGTGATGGTTTGTCCTGTGATGCATTTGATCACTTTCCCTAATGTGTAACCAATCCACTTTCAGCGCTTCCTCCGGACTTCTTACACCACTAGAATCTGGTTGTTTTCTCACATTTTAGGTTGTTACTGATGGTGTCTGACAAACGGATTCGAAGTATTTTGCGTAAATTATTCTATTTTCCAGATGATGACTCTCTTTCTTCAACTTTTCGGTTCATACAGCTCAGGTGCCTTAACACTTTTACTAAATATTGTGACTTTGGTGTTTGGTTTTTGGCTCCTGCTGTTCTTCAGTCCAAACAACATAGACAGAGGTTATTATTCAGTGAAGAATAGTTAGACATTAGACAGATTATTGCCAAACATTTCTGATTATGAAGTTAGCAGTCATGTGTTTCAGTAAGCCTAATAAGAATTTCCTAATTTAAGTAGGACACATGTTATTTTTCATTCAGTGGTTCAAATAATTTACCCGAAGGTCAAGTTTATTTATTCTCAACTACCGATTAGTAATGTTTTTGGAAGACAAATAAGGATTGATTCAGTTAGAGTTGGAATCACTTTGTGGTTTTTGTTCAATTTTTCAATGTCAATAGATTTAAGTCAAGAAGATTTGAGTGAGGATACAGAAGATGGTTATGAATATGAAGATGAAGATGAAACTGGTGAAGATGATGAGAATGAGATTGTCTATGAAAATGAAGGAGTACTGAACGATCCAGCATTCTATAGGAAAGGATATATGGTTAAGTGATGTAGGTTCCGGTATTGCTTTTTTCTATTGTGAATACTATTACGTTTTTATGCGGATTTATATGTTTAATTCCAAGATTATTTGTTGTCAGAAGCTAAACTTATCTTTCTGAACTTGTGTAGATCATTGTTAGACCACCATCATTAGAAACGAGGAAGCACTGGAAGGCCATATCGTCCTGATATGGCACTCATCAGCAGTGTGCATCAACGATTCTTGTTATTCGCGGGACCTTCGATCTTCGAACATCTATCCCTCGGAAAACTGGGCCGACGTCCAACGGTGTTATTGTCGAACACTGATCAATCGAAGGATGTTACACAACCTTTCTGCACCCGACTATGCTTCCATGTCTCTGATGGTGATCTAACAATAATTAATTGACGATTTCATTGCGTCAACTTATTCTATATTGAATAAGATTATTTGAAAAAACACTTTCTGAATAGTGATTTCAATGAATGTTGTTGTTTTAATTGAGTGAAGACTGGTATAGTGTTGTTATATATAGTTAAACGCTTTCAGAGTGACCAGCCAAAGATATTTTAGTTTCATGCAGGAAATGACTCATTTACCTGTATTTCATTCTTAGTCGAACCACGTTTATGCGATGGCTGTCATAAGAACCGAATTACCAATTCTGTTGAGTGAGTATATTTCATACAGTTGCTCACACAGACAGACATGCATATGAAAAGAGATAGATAGAGGAGCGAAGCAGAGAAAGCAAGTGAGGTATGACGAAGTGTTTCTGGTTACAAAAAATCAGCTGAACTATCACCGATGCAAAAACAACGATGATTTTGAGCAAATAACTGATTAGTTTAACAGACTTGGAAATGGCAACTCAAGGAGAAGTGGTTATCTAATTAGTTCGAAAGATAGCAAGGGCCATATTGGCTCGATATATTAGCTTACACTACAGTTAAATATGCAATAAAAATCTTCACTCTTTATTACTAATATCAATTAGATTTTCGAATATGACTTTGAGAAAAAGACAAGCTGAATTTTTTTATTTTGAAATTTTTATTATAGACTAAAGAATAAACTAAAATAACCATGCATTTCAATCTCTATTTTAATCACAGATATTCTACAGGTTAACATGTTGGCATATCGACCATTGAGGAGTGTATCTACTGAATTGAAACAAAACACAGTTTAAAATCTTACAGTGAATTAATAAAAATAGTACAATACATTAATTTGTTTTCAACTTCCTTTTTTTCTTAAATTTGTTTAAATCATGTACGAACAATCATTGAACAAGTATAGATTTCTATGCAATTCGGTTTGTGTTATGTGTGGGAATGATACTACTGTAGTGAAGGAGAACACATGTGGGGCAACCGGATTCTATTTAATGAAAATTACAGAGTTACTCAGTAAAATAGGAAAACTATATCGTAAATCGTTAATTTGCAAAATATCAGTTCATCATATCGAACTGGACTGTTCCTGTTGCAAAACATCAATCCATTGTCACTATTCTACTACTACTACTACTTCTACTACTACTACTACTACTACTACTACTACTACTACTACTACTACTACTACTACTACTACTACTACTACTACTACTACTACTACTACTACTACCAATACTACCAATACTACTACTAGTACTACTACTACTACTACTACTACTACTACTACTACTACTACTACTACTACTACTACTACTACTACCAATACTACCAATACTACTACTAGTACTGTGGTGCGAGCTACTTATAAGTAGTATATGACGTGAGTGTCAACGTCGTGTATTGCAGCAGAAGATGGGGGAAGATGAAGAAAGGAAGAGTTAGAACACTATGGAATTTGTATGAAACGCATGAATAGTGACAATGGATTGATGTTTTGCAACAGGAACAGTCCAGTTCGATATGATGAACTGATATTTTGCAAATCAACGATTTACGTACGATATGGTTTTCCTATTTTACTGAGTAACTCTGTATTTTTCGTTAAATACAATCCGGTCGCCCCACCTGTGTTCTCCTTCACTACAGTACTACGAACTGACTGTCCAAACTGTGTGTGGATATCTATGTGGATTACTCTTCTCTTGCCGACTGAAAGCTCACACATAAGATTCATCCACATAGACCTAAATAGGTTGGCTAATGTGAATGATCTAACTATTAACGTGTTTATACATTTTAAACTGAAATATTGATGCTGATCAGTCAAGGGATGGTGAAATCCTAATAATAATCCATATATACTGTTTATCACAGCCGGTTCACACTCCGAAAAGACATGATGTATTAAACCTAATACTTTGTAAAAATATCACTCCCACTACTTCATACAAGTAAAGAATGAATTTTGGAAGTAGTGACTAAAGAACAGAACTAGATATTATAAATAATTACCACTACTATAGCTTTACTTGACAAGATGCTAGTCAATGAAGAGACTGAAAACATGCTGCGTGGGACAGCTGGATTACAGTACTATCGTAGTCATACGAGTATGCCTACTTCTTGACTAACAACAGTCTTTTATTTTAATCTGACTAGGTTATTGCACATTCATATTCTTTATGTCATATGGTCATGATCAAAACCGTTAGCTAATTTGGTATAATTCACAATACAACCATCTTTTTTTCAGTTTCTCATTCAAAGACTCATCTAACTTATTCACAGCCACTTTCGGCTTGTTTAATATGCATTTTCACACTAAATGTTATGATTTGTTCTGGTCTGTTTGGTTTATAAACTACACCTACTGGAAATATTACGAATTTTATGGAGATCTGCTGAAAAATTTTTTGATTAAGAGGTAAGCTAGAAGCAGAGAGCCTATCGAGTTGTAGACCATTGAGTATTTAGAGCTAATTCAAGATTACTGGTGTTTAACGTAATTTTGTTCAATGTTTTCTATTTGACACATAAAATGGGTCAATAATTATAAACATAACATCGTTGTTGAGTAGTGAGAAAGTCTTTTATCACCAAAAGATTGTTGTGTAGATGTTACTTGCTTGATATAGATGACGTATTTACCAACTGACATATCGATGAATAAACCATAACTCATATCTAAACACTTACGCAGGTCAGTCGGTAAATGAGGGGAAAAACACCAGAATGCTCCATTATTTCAACCTGTTTTTCTTCTCTTAAATAACTAATTTTTAAAAAATATACAAATGAAAATGTGGTTTCAATAACTTCATCACTAGGCTCTAAAGTTATAAGTTCCTAAAGATTCTGAAAATTCTACAAGTTCTAGTCAGAAGTCACGATCAGTGGAGTTCAATCTTGTCAACTGTAGGCGGTTATCTATCGAGGACTATGGGTGAAATAACGAAATTCGTTGAAATGACCAAAGTTAAACACAAAGACCATTGAATCCTAGCGGACTTAGTGGTCTACAGTTAAAGCGTTGTCATGAAAGACTTCATGTCCCATGTTAAACAGTGCTCATGAGCTGGAGTCGTAGATGCTCAATGCTAATAAGTCCCATGTTAGGACGAACCGGTCATCCAGTACTTCCAGTTGTCTTATAAACACTCCTCATATTCCTCTAGCCCACAAGATAGTTTGAGGTTAAATACAAACTTACCAAAGGCTCAAGTTAGAAATGTATTTCTCATTCATTAGAACTATTCAAATATTCTTTAATATGCTTTAATGAATTCATATATAAATTGTAGATACATTTTTAGATAAAATTTTTATGATTTGATTATGTATATCTTTTGTTTTAACTATGATCACTTCAACCATCATCATTTTGGTTTATTAAACTTTGATGTTTAAGTAGTATGTTTTCACTATCAGTAGATTGAAACTTTCATTTTTTTTCGATTATGGCAAAATCTTAACAGCGAATAAGTAGTTCCACAATGAGTAGAAAATAAATTTATTAACTGAAGAAATCATCATAAATCTAATTAACTTAGTTTAGTAAATTATTAATTTTATCATCCCGCTCTCTGTGTATCAGTTTTTTTTCCTCTGGTTACAAAAGATCGATTTAGATTAATAGGTGAAGAGTTTCATTTTGTTTACGAATCAGCAAGGAATTTTGTTCAATTTACAATCTGTAATTTGAAACACGGTTGTAACAAGAAGATTTTCAGAATAAAGATAAAGATATCAATAGTTGCCAAAAAAACACAATAAAGTTTACGACGAATAACATGGCAGTTAGCGAAAATAAGGTAGTGGTTTATGGTAGCCTCCGGGAAACTCTTGAACTAGATCTGTCTATAATATTAGTCTTCAGGAGACAAATGTTTCTTATCACGTTAAGTCTGGTGTAAAGTACCTTCACAGCCAGTGGAGTTGCCGCTAGGTAATCTGTGCTTCCAGAGTCTCATTGTAGGGCCAAGAATTTTGAATTGATCGATGACTGAGTGTAGATAAATGTTATGTGACTGATGTCTTATTCAGTGCTCACTGAATTCTATCAATTAGGTTCCTACGTGGCTACGGATTCAATTCCACAAGGAGAATCTTTTTTCTTGAGAAGTGTTCATCAGCATGAAATGTTATATCCAAACATAGTGTACATGATTTTGAGTAACCTCAATTAGTGATTACTAAGCAACTTGAGTGATAGAATATGGACAACACTAAGAAAGATATGACAATTTGAAATATATGTCCTAGATAAACTTGAAAAAAAATGATATTTTATGCTAAAAATGTAATGATTACTTATTTTCAAGTCTCGTCAACCTAATTATTAAAAGATGTGACGAAATACTAGTAATAATAATAGTAATAAAACAAAAAACATTAAAATAAGTACAACCATAATTTTTTTGGAAGACGCTGTAGCTGTAAAATTGGTCAAACACAATTCTATATTAATTATTCGACCCAAAAGAAAAATTCAACTAAACTAAGGTTTTTGTGAAAATAAGAAACACATAATGAAATATAATCCGGTTACTCTCAACAGAGCATAGACCACTCACCAGCATTCTCCAGTGTTAGGTTCATGATTAAATACGCATGAAACCATTATGGGTTCACCTCAGTCGAACTAGAACTAGACAGTGAACCACCGTCCACGTAGGCTACCTTGATCCATTGACTCGTAACGGATAAGGAGAAGTCTTGATATAGCGTAGAACGTTTATTCTATAAACACGCAACAAGCATAGTGAATTCAAGCACACAAATCGGGTATATTTATAAATCATAGAAACTTCCTTGAGACAGTCACAAGAACAACACATCAAAATACACAGCAGCCAATCACAGCTAAGTATTTTCCTGATGGGAATTGAAATCTAAAGGTCAATTGATCAGCCCACGCTTGCAAACATGAAATCCAAAACAAGGCATTTATCAAGCGAGATCTAGGGATCTAACGTCCCCAACATCCAGTCCACTCTGTTCTGAGCTTTCCTTTCCGATTCTGTCCAAACATTGTTCATTCTTCTCATGTATGTCTCCATCTCTCGGTGTTACGTGTACTTTGCTCTCACTTTCTTCCTTTTTCGTTGAGGGTTATAAGTTGTTGCCTGTTTTCTAACATGGTTAGGAACTTTCCTCATTGTGTTTCCTACCACCGTGCTGTGCCTGCTACTGATTTCTTTTTCCACTGGGATCTAGTTTATTCTCTCCCACAGTAGGTTGTTGCCTAAACACACTCAGCAAAACATTAATTAATCACATGAAGAAAACACACATAAAAGTTGATTAGATCAGTTAGACGTGCACTACAAAAAATAGAATCTATGTTGAAACTACCAGTCTCAGTCTTTTGATTATGTAATTGAGCCCATAAAAGTTATACCAATGATATTTGACAGGATGTGTAGAATGCGGTTAGCGATAGAATCTAATTAGTTCGTTTCATGTTATTTGCAATTCGCTGACTGGTTGTAATTAAATCTCGTAGTTGATATCCCTTCCAGCGCTCAAGTTCAGTACCGATCGTTACAAACTCCATTGCGTTGCATACTAAGCTATTGACATCTGATAATAGCCATTCACTTGTACGATGGGTATGGAATTCAGTTCAATTCATCAATACAGTTATATCGAAGCAATCCATATAGAATGTTCATGTTTTGACCAAGAGTGATCACATTTATGTTAAAAATATTACCGACGAGAGATAACAATCTAAAAGCTACTTTGAATAAATGGATTGAGGCTATGATTTTACAGAAATTGTCATGAATTACAACCGTATCAATGAATTATTGTCAATTTTATGACGGAATGCATAGTAGATATTCATACTGTAAGGGATGCGTAAACATTTTTAAACCTTATATCAGAAAAAAACGAATATGTATAAAGTTTACCTAGTTTTAGTTGTATGCTTTCACAGTGTGGTGCTGTGGTGCGAACTACTTATAAGTAGTATATAACGTGAGTGTCAACGTAATGTCTGGTAGCATAATATGGGGGGAAGATCAAGAAAGGAAGAGTTAGAAAACAATGGAATTTGTATGAAACGCATGAATAGTGACAATGGATTGATGTTTGGCAACAGGAACAGTCCAGTTCGATATGATGAACTGATATTTTGCAAATGAACGATTTACGATATGGTTTTCCGATTTTACTGAGTAACTCTGTAATTTTCGTTAAATACAATTCGGTTGCCCCCACCTGTGTTCTCATTCACTACAACAGTACCAATGTTTGGGTGATAAAAGAATACGATTATTGTTTCAGCAACGGTAGACAATTTGTTCAGGCTTTGCAAGCGAGAAATTCTCATTTATTCGTGACTCTTGAATGAGAGTAACTAAAA